ATTTTTTAAAGTATCCATGACATATTATGGCTGAATCAGCTAAAATTAAAATATACCAACTTTAATGTTAAATTCAAAAGCTAACCATATTTTATAATGTTTTTTTTTAATGTTTAGTGCTCACTTGTCTAAAGTAAGAGCTTACATCACCCACTAATTATATGACTATGTTTCATCAATGTCCAAAACTTATTTAAAGTCACAACATTAATTTGTAGCTTAGTCTATATTCTATACACATTAAAAACTTTATAAGATAGTGTTTTGTGGGGTTTGGACATATTTTTCAACTACGCCTACCATCCATCTATTTATTATTATTTTTATCATTTAAATTATAAAATATTATTTTATTATATTTATTTTTTTCACCCAAGTAATTTCAAACCTACGGTCAGAGAATATTAATTTACATTAAGCGTGGTTGACAATCTCCAAAAGAAAAAATAAATTTAAAAATATTTTTTTTTTAAAAAAAATATATATAATATATAATATGAATTAAATTATTATTACGTCAATATCAAGGACAATTTAAAATGTTTTTATTTAATTTGAGTTTCTTGGAGCGATTAAATAGTTGGCATGCAATAAATTTTAAAAATAATTATATGAATGTATTTTCCCTTACTTCAAAAATCATTTTTTTATTTACTAAAATTAAAAAATTATCATTAAAATTTGACGGCACGAGACCATTTACACTAATGTTTCCCTACCGACCAACTTAGCCAACAATTGTCGCAATTATATAAACAACTTTTAAATCATTTTGCTCACTACCCTAAGATTCATTTTGATTTTTCCCCCATGTTTAATTTAATTATTTATGCTTGTGCATAGCCCGTAGAGGAAACGTGTTCAAGTTCATACATATTTGAAATCTGATAACCCAACGACAAATAATCAAAACCCTCGAACAAAGTACACCATTTGTTCGACACTTGAGAAATCTATTGACATGGCTAAATCAATGACATGATTATGATACTATGTTAGAAATCACGACTCTCCATAATGGTATGATGCTGTCCACTTTGAACATAAGCTCGCGTAACTTTACCTTTGGTTTCCCACACAATGTTCTAAAATGTCTCTAAATAGAGCCCAGATATAACAGATGCATTAGTTCCTAAAACATTATCAAAATTAAATCCATAAACTATATAATATAAATTCGCTCCCGACCATACGACACTAAGAATCACATTAATATACATGAATCTCTATAGTTTTAATTTACGTTTTTTTAATAATAACTGGGAAGCGTAATATAATAAATCACATCAACACTCAAAAGCCTTAATATGCAAGATTAAAAATTAATTACGGTAATGAGGTAAATAATGTAAAAGATTATGCAATAATGACCCTGGATTCTCTTTGTAATTTTAGCACCAAAATTATAATAATCCAAGAAAGAGGAAATTAAATAANTTTTTTTTTCCTGGAATTTGGCTTTATTTGAATTTTGAACGAAGAGTTCGAAGTTAAGGGTACCGGAACTAAAAGACAAAAGTTGTTGCGATTGTCAACAAGGGTAAAAGAGTAAAAACAGTAAACGGTGACGTGGCGATATCTGATTGGTTCCCAACCACAACTGTATATGAGAAAACTAAGAAGCTTTTAATTATGATTCATTAGCAAACAATAATAATAATAATAATAATAATAATAATAATAAAAGGTTTATTAATTTATAAAATGAGCATCATTATAAATAAAGTCCACCCCTTGGTATCTTCCAAACTCATTGGAGGTTAAAAACGCGCCCTTCTCTTCTGTTCTTAGGTCTAATTTGTAGAGTAAAAAGGGAAAAAAAAGAAAAAAAGAAAAAAAGAAAAAAAGAAAAAAAGAAAAAACCCCAAAAAGAAAAAGGGAAAATTGGGAGTGTTCTTGAGGAGGAGAAAGAAAAGAGTGTGGTGGTGGTGGAGAGATTGCAGTGCCGATTTGAGTGTTTTTTATCACTTAAAATCGTGTAATATGTAGAGCTCAAGACCATGGTGCGTTCATTTCTTCACTCAATTCTCGATTTGGGTGCTTCTTTTTCTGCAATTCATCCTCATAATTGGGTATCTAACCTAACTCCATGTTTCTCCAACTTGCCTCTGTTCCTTTCTTTTCACTTTTCTTCTTCAAATCTTGCCTTTACTGTGATGACCTGTGCTTTGTCTCTAAGTGATTTCCCCCCCGTATACACTAATTTTGGGTTCTTCCGATTGAAATCTCAACTGGGTTTTGCTTTGTTTCTCAGATGGAGACGACCCTTTTGCTGAATTGAATTATGAGAACACGACGAAGTGTAGAGAAGCAATTTTTTTGGTATCCTGCTCATAGGTTTTCCGAGCCCATACTTGAGTTTTCTGTGCGTTTTGTTCAAATTCATCCAACGCCTTTCATCTCCCCACCCCCCACAGGTAATTTCTTAAGAATCTGGAATCTGCGTTTTGTTTTTCCCCTTCAAACAGACCCAATATATGTATGCATGCCTATAAGAATCTGGGTTTTGTTCTTCACTGATTTTCTCTGCCACTTTATATGAATTCTGATGTTTGAACAGTATTAGCTTGTGTGTAAGTGTTTGTGGAAGAATTCAAGGATGAAGCACAATTGTTCCTTTTAGTTTCTGAGTACTTAATGATTTGGATTACTTTTTTGAGGTTGAGTTGCAGGCGTTTGAAAGTTAAAGGTTATTATACAATGAATAATGAGGGAGTGTCCAACATACCAAGGACATCTGTGAAGATCTCATGGAACCATGGAGGGAAGCAAGTGGCTATTATTGGATCATGGGATAACTGGGAGACAAGGTACTACTTTGCAGCTAAGATGTTTGATTCTGGACATGTTTTTTTTGTCTAATACAGAACATTTTATCTCCTTATGTTAGGGAGTTGTTGCAGAGCTTAGGAAAAGAATTTGTTATTATCAAGACACTCCCCTCAGGGATCTACCATTATCGCTTCATGGTTGATGGATGGTTGACATGTGCTCCTGATTTGCCTTGGGTTTGTGATGATTCTGGAAATTCTTACAATGTTCTTGACTTGATGGTAATTCTCGACTTCGACTTCTATATTCTCGGTTAAGATAATTAACGCCCCGTATATTTGATTTGGGATAAGTTGTCTTTGCTTGATTCCATGATCATGTCCTTGAAAAGATATTTGATTTGGCCTGAGCTTTACTCTTAAATGTCAAACTTTTAAATTGAGTTTTAGATTTCCCAATTCAAAGAGCAATCTAATAGGTTTGTAAAGCTTGGAAGATTAGAGTATCTGTAATGGTCCAAGCCCACCGTTAGCAGATATTGTCCGGGTTTAGGCCGTTTCAAATAGTATCAAAGCTAGACACCGGATGATGTGTTAGTGAGTAGGCTGAGCCCCAAAGGTGGGTGGACATGAGGCGGTGTGCCAATTTCAGTACGTGGATTAGGGAGTCCCACATCGATTGGAGAAGGGGACGAGTGCTAGCGAGGATGCTAGGTTTCGATGGGGGTGGATTGTGAAATCCCATGTCGGTTGGGGAGGAGAACGAAACATTCTTTATAAGGGTGTGAAACCTCTCAAGACGCTTTAAAAACCTTGAGGGAAAGCCCGAAAAGGACAATATCTACTAACAATAGGCTTGGGCTGTTACCGTATCTATCAAAATGACAAATGTAGATTCTGGGGAGTTACTATACTTCAAAAAAAGTTCCCAGGATTCAATTGATAGGAGAAGGAGATGGGATGGAACAGTTAACTTTGCAAGTTACTCTTATTTTATTTCTTATAAACCACTTTATGGGCTATTTGGTTAAGATTTTTGGTTGATACCAAACCCACATATGGACTGTATTTTGGAAGTGAGGGGCTTAAAAAGGGGGAGACAAAGGTTCGGTGGTGTATATACGATGTATTCGCATTAAAAGCCCAGGTATTTCAATGGGTTACTAATAGCTACGCCATGGGACAAGGGAAGAAAATGATCGGTTTTGATTTCGGATACTCGAGTACGAAATCGTGAAAGAGAAACAAATCTAGGTTCCTTGTTCTCTTGCCCATTGCTGTGCAGCAAGTTCTTCTGAATGAACAAGCCCCGATCCTTCTTTCATTACTTTTGGCTCTTAATTTTGGTTGAATAAATCTTTGTAAAAGAGCTTTGCCTGCTCAGTACTAATTTGAAGTTCTATTGATCTGTTTTACAGACACCCGTCTCGGAATTGCCTGAAAGTCTATCCGAGTTCGAATTTCCTCCATCCCCACCGTCTAGTTATGATAACCAATGCTTCAACGACGACGATTTCAGTAGACCTCCACCGGATCTACCGCCACCACTACGAGAGACTATTTTAAATGAACCATCTTGCTGCACGAGCGGTCATCAGTCTGATGTGCAGCCTCGACACACTGAATTGAACCATTTATACCAAAATAACGTGGGAGGTGAATTCATGGCGCTCGGTTCAACATTCAGATTTTGTGAAAAATACGTCACAATGTTACTTTTCAAGCCCTTGCTGAAAAGAAATTGATAGCCTTTGGTAAACTGTTCTTCCCCCCTTCTAAATTTGTGGCATACCCTTTTGTATTTCAACCTCATAGCTGGTATTAATTGAGCATCGAACAATGATTATTTATGTGAAGATTGTGATACTAATAGATTGAAGAGAGCTATGCTTATGTAAACTCTGTATTCTTTTTCCCTTTTACTTGTGCAGTATGTTTCAAGCCATTGGAATGGAAATGTTGAACCCATTGAATTATTCTCAGGTGTTTCTTTCCTTCTTTTACTATGGAGTTCTATCAGTTTCCATGTTTTTTTTTTTTTGTTCTTTCTGAGCTGTTCATTGCATCCTGTAAATTAATTGAGTTTTGAGTTATTTGCTTCTCATAAGACCCCGACACGCGAACAGCGAGATTGAACCGAGTTACTATAGTGTTCGTATTAGTTTCTGGAATAGAATTACAAATCAAAATAGGCATAGACAATGGGTTTGGTGGGCTGTAAAAGAAGATTCATCTCACAGGAACCTTAACCCAGCCATTGGCAAAAGCTATGGCTAAGATCACGAACGGAGTCGACATGCCGAAGATGATGATACAAGGAAGAGGAGTCATCATAGGATTCTCCTCTTCCCTTTCCCCTGCTGTCTGCCAATACCTGCACCAAATTTAATCAGAGTTCTAGCATGGTGTTTGTAGAACGGGGAAAGATTGCTTACTGCTCTGGTTCTTCTTCTTTGGTTATGAACGTTTTCTTCCCTCCCCTCTTGATTTCTGCATCTCCATCACCTGAAAATAGCATTGCCCTTTTACCTAAATTTGCAAGAAGTTTGAAGCGAGAAGCGCTTGGCCATGGCAAGGAGAAGCGGCAGGGAAGAGGAGCGAAGAAGGAAGATGGGTTTTGTTGGCGGCCATTGTTGAAGCAGTGTTGAGCTACTGATATGTTTTGCTCATTTGTGTTGGGGGATCGCATATATATATCATAGGAGATTTGGATATGAATGTTGTGGCACTGATATTTGCTCATCTTAGCCATTGCAGGACATGACAGACAACCCCATGGCCCCATCTTCTTCTTTCGTTTGCACTTGTGGTGACACTTCAATTGCTAGATTGTCGATCTATGAACCCAATTGTACTTCGTCCCAGCCGTGCTATTTTCAGCATTCATCGACATTGACATCCCCGAGACTAAAATACTAAGTTTAAGACCAGTGATCATTATTGATATTGTCTCTCTTTCCAGGCTTCCCCTCATAGTTTTAGAATGTTTCGTTCTCCTTCCCAACCGATGTGAGATCTCACAATCCACTCCCTTTTGGGGCTCAGCGTCCTCACTAATATTCGTTCCAGCGGAGGTGTCGGTTGGAGAGGAGAACGAAACATTCTTTTTAAGGTTGAGAAAACATCTCCCTAGCATACACATTTTAAAAACCTCCGAGTGTTTGATCAAAAGAGAAAGCTCAAAGAGAGTAGACTTAAACTAATACAATTATAAGACTAACTAACAATAACAAAAGGCTAGTTGGATTCTACGCTCAATGTATATCGACATGCCCGTGTACGTTCTAAGTATCAAACTTTGATCGAGTTTACAAAGATTATAATTCCATATAGAAGGGTAGTGAAAAGAATGGGAATTTTGTTGATGCTAAGAGCATTGTAGTGTTAGAATTTGAACTCTAATATCCTCTTTCATTCTTCTTATGAACTCCTCGCACTTTCGGTTCAACTCCGGTAAGCTGATGGTTGTCCTTGTTCTTGTTCATGTTCATCATCCTTCATACTGTCTAATTCATCATTCTGAGCTTTTTCAAGAGCAAAGGAACACGTTTCCAGTTCATGATCTCGAGCTTCTTGAAGAACCAAACGTCGTGGAACTTGTTGAACATGTAACAATCCCATTTCTTTGTCACCATCAACTGATCTCCTTCCATCCCCTGCAGCTTGTTCCTTGTCAGCCACAGGCAAGCGAGAGTTTAGAGAAAGGAAAAGCAGTAGAGTATTGCAGAAGAAGAACATATAATCCTTGTGGATTGTAGCAGAGAAGTAGAAGATCCATGAGTAAGCTAGAGAGAATGAGAAGATGAAGAAGAAAAGTGGTATGGAAACTGCAAAGATGTTCATAGTTTAATGTGGATTGGAGCAATGTGATTGAGTTACGTATATATATTAACAAACCAACACACATTGGTTAATTTAGTAGAAGATCATACGGTTATAAATAAAGGAATACTATCTTCATCGGTACGTGGCTTTTTAGACGAGTCTAATATTTAAAGTGGACAATATGATACCAAACTCTGGGTCATATGCTTCCAATATGTATTACCGAAACTGAAATCAAATTGCCCCGAGGAATGTAGAAGAACGAAGATCACAGCTTGGCGGAGAGAGCTTCAAAGTGGAAGGTGCTAGCTAAAAGATATTTTGCTAATCACTGAGAAAGGTGAACTACTTTGCCCCAATCCTTCTACAGTGTGTCGGAGGTTGGAGGATTTCCATTTCATCTTTCCTGTTCGAATCGGTTAGTTGATCCTCGAATCCCTGCTTTTCGTTTTCGTTCGATTTGTATCTGAACTGGGCTTTAAATGAATTGAGTATAAAGTTTCTTGAATTTATTTCTATCTTAATAGTTACCGCTTCAATCAGAAAACTCTGATTTGTGGGAAAATCATGAGGGTTTTGCGATTTCGTAGATTTTCCACTCTTCTGAGCTCTGTAGCCAGAACTTCTGCTTCTGTAAACCCTAATTTGGATGTGACTTTACGAAATAGGAAATGGAATCCAATTCCAATACCTCACCGATCAATTCCCGAACCCAGAGGACAAGACCTTGATTTTGTTAACGTCGTACATAGCCACCTGATTCATTCGGATTGGACTAAGCTTGATTGTTTGTCATCGGGTCTGACAGCATTCAGAGTCAAACACATTCTACTCAAATCCCGGAAGGACTATGTACTATCGCTCGAGTTCTTCAATTGGGTTACCACTCAAAATCCTTCTTCTCATACTCTTGAGACCCATTGCATAATCCTCCATATACTTGCTAAACATAGGAAGTTTAAATCTGCAGAATCAATTTTGAGGAGTATCATAGATTCGTGTTCTATTGAGTTTCCTTCTAAGTTGTTTGAATCCTTATTGTACTCCTACCGAGTCTGTGATTCTTCCCCGCATGTTTTTGATCTGCTTTTCAAGACTTTTGCTCATTTGAAGAAGTACAGAAATGCCTCTGATACATTTTGTAAGATGAAGGATTATGGATTTTTACCCACTGTGGAGTCATGTAATGCATTTCTGAGTTCCTTGATTAATTTCAACAGGGGAGATATTGCTTCGACGTTTTATAGAGAAATGCGACGTTGTCGGATTTCGCCTAATTCGTATACACTAAACTTGGTTATTTGTGCTTCCTGTAAATTGGGAAGATTAGATAAGGCTAATGAGGTGTTTGAGGAAATGAAAACCATGGGGTTTTCTCCAAATGTTGCATCTTACAATACACTTATTGCAGGCAACTGTAACAAGGGTCTTTTGAGCTCAGCCATGAAACTCAGAAGTACAATGGAAAGAAATGGAGTTCTTCCAGATGTTGTTACTTTTAATACTCTTATCAATGGGTTCTGTAAGGATGGGAAGCTTCAAGAAGCAAGTAAATTATTTGGAGAGATGAAAGCAATGAGTTTATCTCCCACTACTATAACCTACAACACTTTGATAAATGGCTACAGCAAAATGGGCAATACCGACATGGGCAATAGACTTTTTGAGGAGATGTCGAGGTTTCAAGTTAAACCCGATATCCTTACTTACAATGCCCTGATCTTGGGACTATGCAAAGAGGGAAAGACAAAGAACGCAGCATTTCTGGTTCGAGAGCTTGACAGGAAGAAACTAGTTCCAAATGCTTCGACGTTTTCTGCTTTAATTTGTGGACAGTGTGTGCGGAAGAATTCGGAGCGTGCATTTCAAATATATAACACTATGATGAAAAGTGGTTTTAGCCCTTGTGACCAAACCTTTAGGATGCTATTGACCACTTTCCTTGATAATGAGGATTATGATGGAGCAGTTCAATTATTGAAGGACATGGTGAAGAGACACAGGGCTCCTGATTTGGATAACTTATGTGAGCTTTGTGTTGGACTTGGGCGATGTGGGAATGGTAAAATAGCTATAATGTTATGCAGTGAGTTGGAAGCTCAACATCTCTTGCCAGAAGGTTTTGACAAACTCAAAGTATTCAATTTGTTGCACAATGGATAGTTAACCATATTATCCTCTGTTTATCAGATCAAACTGCCTTGTGATTCAGCTGCAGTAACTCACCTGAGAGTCTTCTAGCCGCGAAACACAGAGGTAAGCCTGGATGGTGCCTCCATCGAACTTGAATTATATCAGACTCGTATCGACTTTTTTGTCAGTTGATTTGCAGTTTTCAGTCTAACAACTCGTTATCAAATGATTTGATCCAAGTCGATCACCAATGTGAAGCAAATATAGGTAAGGGTGTCTTATGTTATCGCTTCCTTGGAACTTTCTTGGGCTCTCACTCTGTCCATGGAGGATTTACTGGTCTCGCTAATGCTGTTTCTACGGCAGCGTGGTTTTCTTCTATGCTGTTTGAGCCATGTTGAAGTTCTTAAACCGAACTAAGTTCTCGTTGGTTGAGTTGATTGCATATTGGCTTTCTTTCCTGCCCGACCGAACCCAACAATAGCTGATCCTAGCGTGAGACTGACGCTTTTTTCCTATTAGGTCCTGTATCGTTATTTCATTGCTTATTTTCTACAAATAACAAAGTTGAGGATCATGATTGATAATAATGAGTTCATTAAGGCTAAGATTCCAATAATCCTTCATAAACTCGATCAACAATAATTGCCCCATGAATTGAAATGAAAATACGTTGTTCAAAACAATGAATCGGAATAAAATTTCCTTCTTCTCCCCCAACAAAGAAAATGGAAAGAAAGGACCATGATTTAGATCTCCCATGAACACTAAGACCCGTCCTTACGCACTCCAATCATTCAATGAAACCCCATCACTGCCGAACTGTACACATCCCCCAGGAACCAATCTACTACATTGTTTGATTATGCACCAAAATCCCACAAATGTAACGTGGTGTCGAACCCAGAGGCCGCCACGTATCGGTCATTGGCAATGACAGCATTGGCAGCCCCAATCCTCTCTCTAAACCTGTACAGATACTGGCCATGCTCTATTTCCCAAACCCTTATCGCCCCACCGGAGCTCATCACAGCATAGCCCATGTTCATGCAGCCCACAGCCCCTCTCTGAGCCGCCCCTGTTACTGTGAACGTACAAACTTCTTCCATTGTGCCCACTCGTCGTACCACAGCCACACCATGTCCGTCCACCACTATGTATGTCTCATTGCTTACGTCCATCGATGTTACCATCCATACCACCCCATTTTCCTCCTCGTTTAATACCACTTCTTGATTTCTCAAGTCCAAAACCATGAGCTGTAGGCTAGTGCAGGCCACTGCCGATTCCCGACTCGACACCCGTACCCGGCCGACTTGCTCCATTGGCTCTGCTAACATGTGCCACCCCGTTACAGATTCTGGGTCGGTCAGCGACCCACCTACAAACACGAGTTCTTCACTGTTCCCATCCCATATGTGGAATGCACGGCCAGGTACACCAGCATACAGCCCAACCCACCACCGGTCACACCCGGCAAAGTCTACCAACACACCATCATTCATCACATTGCCTTCATGTACCCGGCGCGTGGGCGATATAGCAGCAGGGGTACGGTCAATAACTCCAATGTGAATGTCGCCATCAATGCTCGCAAAGACGATACGAGCATCAGCAATCACAATGCCAGAGACGGCGCGTGAGAATTGCCCAAGACGGTCACGGTGGTGGGGGCGAAACGTAGTGACATGAACACGCGTGGCAAGGTCAAATAAACGAATGGTACCATCAGCAAATCCACAAGCCAAGTGGCGCAAGGAGATAGCGAGGCAACGACACATCAGACTATCAGGT